AAAGGTTATGCCTCGAAGCATTATACGAAGATTGATTCTCACGAAATTAGTTAATCGCATCCGAACTCTGCTCAAAGGAATCACGAATCCAATTTGTACTCATTTATTAACCTTTCATATCCTATGTTAACTGATAAGATTGCCACAAAACTTAGCCTAGTTTAGTTCAAGATAATCCTTAAAATTCAAATTTTTATTTCATGGATATGGGCTGTAGTAGAATGGTCCACATACTAATCCAAAAACTCAAATAAGTAGCTAGTAAATTAATGCTAGAGACTTCAATAAACTGCAAGTCATGGTAAATCACAAGAAGGTAGGATCATGGAATCTTTTTTATTTGAACCACTAGTTGTAATTTATCCATACCACTAAAATTAAAATAAGTTTACTAACTACATCCTTATTCAAGTAGTGATAAGACATATATCACTTGCTTGAAATCCTTTTTCGCTTGTGGATTGATAGCAACCTATGAAATAAGTCTTCAATAATGATAGAATGGCCATAACTCGTGGCAACATAAACCTTTATTTCAATTCAGTATGTTTTAAGCAATTGTTATGAAGATAAGGTGTGTTTGAGTTGGCAGTGCGGTGCTCCATAATAGTTTTTTATGTGGAAAAACTGCATTTTGCCTATTTTTAAAAAAATTGCAGCTGCCACCGGACTTGGTTAAGTGTGGTGGTTACTAGAAAGTTGCGGCTTGAATTTTTTTAAAAAAAAAAAATTGTAATGGCCACCACAGGTTTTTCTTTAGTAGCTTCATAGCTACTTTTTCAAATAGCTGCAGCTGCCCCAAAATCTCTTAAATAAATGACTTCAATATTTTCACTTAAAACTAGAATAAACCTTGAACTATACTATTCTAGGTCAGTGCCAAACTTCTCAAGAGACTAGCCTAATGCTTAGAAAAGTACACCTTATCTTTGCCATCAACATGGGCATGATGTATATTATAAAAATAATACTTACTCTAAAGATAAACTAGCTAATTAATAGCAGATAAATAAGTTGTGCTTAGATCATTGCTTGATATGATATTTTCGCAAGTAAAAACATGAAAATTTTCATCAAACCTATGTGACGTGGACAGATTCAGTTATTATGCCAAACTACAAAAGGTAGCCTATTGCTTAGGAAAATTATTTTCTTTTATCGACCATCCTCATTAGCATGCTGTTAATTACAAAAATAATAAATAATATAAAAATAAACAACTAACCAATATAAACAACTAAGGCGTGCTTAGGTACTTAATGTGATATTTTTGACAAGAACAAGCATGAAATTTCCATCAAATCTACCTAGCTTAAATAAATCCATTTTGGTTGTTTCCAATGCTATGCTTGCTACATTAATTTAACTTTATAGAGTGAAAACAACTCATTAAGAGAATTTTCAAACTATTTTCATCATTTCATTGTTAGTTTAATATTTATGGGATCACTATTATGCAGATCATTGTTGTCCTTTGAAGAGTATGTTGTTTTTGTAATATTTGAACTTTAGTGGTAGTTAAGAATGATAAGTGTCATGAAGTTTACTTATACATGGTCCATACAAGGGCTGGTGAAGTAAGGAATTGTCAAGAAAGCCAACCAATATGTGGATAAGAGGAAGCAGTGATGGTTCCAAATAAAAGAGGACTTACATTTTTTCTCTACTTGGTTAAGGGGCGTCTAATGAGTGCAATTCTCTTACAAAAGAATGAACTCAACCAACAACCCCTCCACCTACACATTTTAAGGGGTTCAATCACTTCAACTCCCTTGGATTTCTTGGTGTCCCTCTTCTCCTCTTTTCAATTTCAACTTTTTTCTAATTTTAATGGTTTAAATGATGAAATTATTGTAATACATATCTTTTACTGAATTAGAGAATTGAAAAAAATATTGTTGTGAACTTTGCATGATGGCTTGACTTTGATGTTGAAGACTTGGTGACTTATCAAAAACCCATCTTCTTTTGGTGAGGCTCAAGTGTCTTGCATCTTTTATTTATTTGTTATAATCTCATCTATTAAACATACATCTTTTAAATAAATCCTCATTTTTCACTTTCATCAAATCCTTCAAAACCTGGACCTATTTTTTCTCGGTTTTGGCTTAAATGCCAATTTACCAACCCTACTTGAAGCCATTACACCGCTCGTATCTATCTACCAACCTTCATAACTCTTTAACACATCATTGTCTCCACACAGATCTCCCATTACTGAGCCGAAACTGCTCCCTGATCTTTTTAAAAATTCTCCAACCCTTGGAGGGCTCTTAGCCTCATCCTCATCTTTTCAGACTATCTACACAAAGACCTTGGCCTTACCCTTCACCACTTATGTAGAACAAGAAGGTTGCGATATAAATTTGATTTTTCATGACAGTATGATTTTCATCTTTTATTTATTTATTTTTGTGGTAGAAGTCTGATAAAATTGCAGAGTTTTCGTTCAGATGGAGTCATTATCTTGTAAGAAATTGGAAATTGATCATCAAAATGTATGCATAGAAAAAATCTAATGATGCATGTTTATATAAATAATACAATCATCAATATTTTGATTCAATTTTTTTTTCTTTGAAAATTTTTATGTTGTTACCATCATTATGAAAGGATGTTATTATCATCATGATTTCTGCTTAAATTTGAAAATATTTTGATTTTAGTTTATACAATCATCAATATTTTGATGCAATTTTTTTTTTCTTTAAAAATTTTTATGTTGCTACCATCATTATGAAAGGATGTGATTATGATCATGATTTCTGCTTAAATTTGAAAATATTTTGATTTGAGTTTTTTATGCAAATATGTAATAAATGTTGTTTTTTAATGGAAAGAATGTGTTGTCAACATCTTCAATTAGGGGTGGAGCAATCAAGGAAAAATTATATGTCCTATAAAAATATTATAAAAATATCATAAATAAGTGATTAAAAGTGCAACAAATGTTTCTTAAAGAATTAAATAGGTGAATTCAAGGGAAAAAGAAAGTCATTTAGGTTTCAAGTGAGTAATTATTTTTTTATATATACTAAATAGATATTTTATTAAATAAAAACTTAAATTATTGTTTCAGATACCTGCTTTTATAATTATATGCATGTTATAAGTTCAAAGAGTCATTGAAATGAATGAAATAAACTAATATAAAAAGGAAAATTATTTTTTAGTGACTTTAGAAAGAGGTACTTAAAGGAAATGAAATGTAAGGTTTTAAGTCATCTAGGATTACTCCCAGATGGTACTTGGTGGGAATACGATGTATCTTTGCACAACAAAAGAATTAGAAATTATAAATGTATACATTTCGGTGCAAAATGCTTAGGGCACATATGAGTAAAATTATTTAGGATACATTCAGATATGACAGTAATCCTGATATAACTTTTTAAAGAGGTTAAATAGCGTAAATATTTACATTGAAATGGGAAATGTTAAATTAAAAATGAAAGTTTATAATTCGATTTACCAATAAATTGCATTTTCTTGAGACATTCATGCATAACATTTGCAAATTAATTTTATGCAAAGAAAATTTGTAATTGCTCATTAACAGATGTAACTTATTCTTGAAAATTAATGGTTCCTTTCTGGAAAACATTAGATTGATATAAATTACAGACGAGAGATATTTTACAGGAGAACTACTATTGATAGATAATATATTGTGTATTGTTATTGTAGTTATTGTACTGTTTACTTATGAGTAGTGATATATTGTTGTGTTGATTTGAGATATTTTTTTACTTGAACATTATGTTGTTGTTTTTGGATGATTTGACTTTCTGTGTAGTGTACTAAGTGATGTAACTTATCGTAAAAATTAGTGATTGCATTTAAAAAAACATTAGATTTATATGATTGACAGACGAGAGATGGTTTATAATAGAAGTACTACTGCTGATAGGTATTATATTGTGAATTATGATTGTAGTTATTGTACTGTTTAGTTTGGGTAATGATATGCACTTATGTGTTGGTAGATGTTTTATTTGTAGGATATGTTGTTTCAGGAGATTTGATTTTCTGTGTAGTGTACTATGTGATTTTTTAGTGGCTTTTTTATAAATTGAAAGTTATGATGATCCGTGGATAGTAGATGAAATATTAATTGCATTGTCTGACCCTCTATTCCCTCCTTGATTTATTCTATGCCCTCAGCCGGTTTGTGACAACCACAAGTTCCTTGGATGTAGAGAGAGAGAGAGAGAGAGAGAGAGAGAACTTGCTCAAAATTGTGAGCTTGTGGCTCGGTTGGATCGACAACAATAGAATTGTGGTAATGGAGATTGGTCACGAGCTTGCTATGTGACTCTTGCCTCTCATGTGCACCAGTTTTATTACAAAACTAAAGTCATTGAGCATTTTTGTCTAGGATTCTCAGTCATTTTATGTTCTTAGGTGGCTACAAGCTTGTTGGCAGCGACGATGATCTTACTTCCTTTCCGTGTGTCTAGGGTTCTCAAGCATTCTAATTGTTTTTTAGGTGGCCACAGGCTTGCTGGCAGCAGCAATGATCTTACTTCCTTTCTGTGTATTCATAATTTCAGCCTTGATATGTACATGTAGTTCAAAAGGAGCACAATACAACATAAACTGCTTTTCCTTGTTATAACAGCTCCTTTACCTTGTTGTGGTTCTCTGATATAATTCTAGGCTCATGTTGCCTACACCTCAAGCAATTTGTGCTGAATTAGAGTTTCTCATTGGAATGTCTGCATCTTTCTAAATGATGAAATTTTCATTATGTGTATGCTGAACGCTATAATGACACCTCCTCAATATTTTTGAAAAAAAATCCATCTGATAATTGCTATTTTCGCCGATTTCAACCTAAATAATTTTATGATCTGATAATTGCTATTTTCGCCGATTTCAACCTAATTATAATAATGTCTATGTGTACAAACAATACTCAAGTTCAATTTTTATTTTCTGATACCATGTCTTTAGCATTTCTCCTTTTCCTTGATTATTGAACTGTTGGTTTTTTCTAGGTGGTGCACCCTGCTCCTGGAAGTGCTAATGGCACGTTAGTGAATGCTTTACTTAATCATTGTCAGCTTTCAGCAGTTGCTTGTGTTAACAGACAAAGTTCCTTCGAAACTGAAGATAATGACTTATTTGATAATGAGGTTAATGACTTCTATTTTGGCCATTCTTGTGAGGCGTTCAAACAAAGCAGTGAGGCTCTTGTTCGCCCAGGCATTGTACATAGATTGGACAAGGGTACCAGTGGTCTGCTTGTTGTAGCCAAGGTTTGTAAATTTCCACAGCCCAACATCAATTGAAACAATTTCACTTTGGTGCTCATAATAATTAGAGTAAATGAGCATGCAGATGTTTATATCCTACGGTACATAGGAGAGAATAGAAAAACATACAAAACCACCAGAGTAAATTTATGAGCAACACAAAGTTGGCTATTTTATTTCCAGGATAAAATATACCGGAGCTATTCAACTTCATGAAAGCAAGTCCATGTCAGGGCTAGTACATATTTGTGGTTGTAGCCTTTGTTCTTCCTTTTGCATTTTTACATTAAACTTCCCCATATATATTAATTTGAGAAAGGAAGGGCAAAAAAATTTGAGCAGTATCATGTTTGATATAGAAGAGTGACACTTGAAGTGTCGAGCTTTTTATTGTCATCATCAACCTCATGCTTACCTTATTCTTTCACTTGTTTGTTTATTCCACAACTTTTAAATTAGAAATTTCTGTCTCATATTCACCTTGGCATTCACTCTTGATCTCTCTCTCTTTTCCTCTCTCTTGACTTTTTCATTTCTATCAAGGCTCCATGATAACTAGATTGTATAACATTTTTAATATCATCTAAGCTTCAGAAATTTTCACTCCTACAAAGTTAATTTCTTTCATATTTTATTTTTTATTATAGTTTTGAATTGCAGGAGATCATAGGAACTAATCTTTATCCATTTTCCTATTCATGTTACATGGAAAATGCTTTGCATCCCGATTTAGTGCTCAAAATAAGTTTCTATGATTGTTGGATGGATGTTATGTAGTATGTTTTTGTAGTAGCTCAAACTCTTGCCCATGTAAAAATTTTCAGGAGGTCACCCATTTTGAGAGCGCTTAGCGAGAGAACTCTTTTACTTGGGTGTTCCTGATGAAATTCAAATCATTACAACAAAAGGCACCACAATATTTAAGAGGTCAGTTTCATCCTTCTTAAGAGGTTTCACGATCTCCCCACTTAAGTAGTTGAATGTTCTCATCACACTTTTAGCCCAAAATCATCCACTAGACAACTAGGATCCTATAGTTGGCCCCTACAAATTCAAGAGATAGCTCTTATAATGTGGCACTTCGTCTCATCTTTAATTCAAGAGGTGGCTCTCATGAAATAACACTTTGTTCTGTATAACACTTAATTCTCATCTTCAAATTGGTGTAATACTCCAATACCACTGTCATATCTTATGTTCAGAAGGTATATATCCCGACAACACTGGGCTTAATGAATGAATATAATCTCTCTTTGTAATCACAAAAAAAATTATTTATACAAGCAATATGGGTAATAAAAATGAACATAAAAAGATAAATTTATTTCATTAAATCAATAAATGTTATAATTATAGTCCAACAAGCGACTAAAATAATGTCAATCGAAATTAATATGAAAATAATTGATTGCAAAAACATAATTACCCAAAACCCAAAAGAAAATAATAACTGACCCATAAACTGAAAATATCAAAAATATACCATAATGTTGAATATTTTGCTATGGCGATGGTCCACCAAGTATATTTGCTCTAAGAAAATATCAAGTGAGTTTGGCTAATCAATCTCAATAAATAAATATTTTTTATTAAAGCATAATCCATAAGGTATAAGGGCGTGCAATATAACAATAAAAAAGGAACATTATATTAAATATACTAGCAGAGTAATCGAATTACAATAGTATTGCAACAATAAAGAATTTCAATGGTCCAAATAGTCTTGATTACCATTATGCTAATAAGCCATGCAAATAAGTGGTTGTAATCATTCACTTTTTTGTAGACATCTGTGTGCCATAATATCAAATAATTGCATGTCTCGTCAGTCATGTCTCTGCCTGATAATATTTGGATATTTAAGTGTGTCTATGTATATATGTATGTATGTATGTATGTGTGTGTACATATATGTGTATGTATATATATATATATATGGTATCATGGTATCAGTGCTTTTTCTTTCTAGTTGAGTTTAAAATATAAGTTTGAAAACAAACTTGTTTAGTTTGTTTGTTTTTTTAATATTTTTAAGGCCTATTAGTTTTTATTGTTCATTTATTTTTCAATAAATAATTAACAAATTACAAAAAATTAGTTTATTTGAATTTTTGCTTCGTGTTTCTAGCGTAATTTAGGTTTATTGCACGGTTACATGAAATAATTATTTAAACTTCGAAAAAAAAAATCAAAACAAATTAAAACCTTGTTTTGGCGAGAATACTTTATCTTGTTTTTGTCCATCGGATAGTTATCAACATATCCTGCATGGTGATCAAGCTCAGTTGAATACTATTGTTGATCTATTGTCTAGCTTATTTGATTACTTGTATCCTTGTCAATTGAGTGTCATTAGCAGTCTATTAAATATTTCAGCAAAAACCTCTAAAAAAAAAGTCCCTTGAGAACGTTGATAGTTATCTTAAGTCCTTATAGAAAGACTTATTGTGTCGTTTGATTGAAGCTGAAAAGTATAAAACAAATTATTCTAGAATCCTTGAACGATTGTTGGAAATTCGTAGAATTCCTAAAAATTTTCATTCCAATAGCGATAAAGAATTCAATCGAGTTAGAGAATTGTTAAAAGAATTAAAAGAGCTTCATTACAATTGATGTTTACGAAGAACCTTAGTATCTATTTGCTATTTCATTTTTTACTGAGTTTGCGAGCGATAAGGGTAAGGAGGGCTACTTGAAACCTGAAGGAGTCACTTCCAAATTTGATAGAGTTATCATACACAAAACAATATTATCTTAGTGTTGCTAATTCATCTCCATCGTTGTGTTAGCTTACTCGAGAAGGTTGTTTATAATCTAGCTCATAACATTCCTACAGACACTAAAGTTGAAAGCGAGTTGGATAAGATTACTTCTCAGATTAAGAGTTTATCATTAGGATAAACTTCTAAAGGAGCTCTTAAGACTTGAAGAAGCTATCGTTTTTTTTTATTACAATGCAGAGAAAAACAATTTCGTTTAGTGGATCTTCAAATACAATATTAGCTACTGGACCATCTGCGTCTAGTCAATCAATTTCACTAACTAGCTGTTGGCTGGATGAGTTTTTCGATAAAAATAACTCTAGAAGAGATTTCGGGATTGAAGAATTGGTGGATGTAAGACGTTCTTGCAATTTTCTTTAATGATTATTTAGATAGCCTTAATCCCGCTAAACTTTGCTTGAAAAATGTGTTTAGTAGTTCTAAGGGTTTGTTTAAACATCATAAGGAAGTCCCCTTGCATTGTCCTGACAATACTGAGATTGTCAGCCTCTGAACTTAGGAAAAAGAAAAATCATACATACATTCATTTTGATTTGGTTGTATTTGGAATCAGTTGACTTGTGCTTAAGAGAACTGGAGGCAAAGTGCTGCTTATCCTTTATGACTCTAGATTTGATACTGCCAATGATTCTATAATTAGTATTATAGAGATTGATATGAATGATAATATTGGTATCACCTATATTATCCCTGACATCACTATGACTATATCTGACTTCGAAAAATATGTTAAAGTCATGATTCCGACCAAGTGTTATGAATACTTCCAAGGTGATAACTTATTTCTTTCTATCATTTTCTTAGGGAAAACAATGACCGATATTAAAATCAGATTTAGAATCAAAATGGAACAAAACATTGATGCCTTAATCTCCAATGAAATTTAGTTTATAATTACAAAAGAAAGTAAATTCCAGAACATTGGCTGGGTTAGAATTGAATATATCTCCTCTTAGGGATGAATCTCAACCTCTAGTTCCCACAGAATATATTACATTTCAAAATCCTGATAAGAATATATCCATAAGATTCAAAAATTATAAAATTCGAAATCAGGAAGATGATGATTTAGACATGGGACTAGTAAGTATTGATCTTGATGATTATAGTGATAGTGATGATGTGATAAAATTAAATATGATGCAAGACTCTGAGGATGAGGATGAAGAAACTCCTCTATGGGATAGAGTAAATCCTTATGAAGATTATATTATGTTTCCTGAAGAGTTGGGATTAGCCGTTGATTGGAAGTCCGTATTTGAATTAGAACAACATTACAAAAAGATTAAACAGATAAATTTTAATGACGTTTTGTATGTTGGTGATATAAGAAACATAAGGATAATCAGAGGTAGTCAAAGTGAAGTACCAACACTGTTAGAAGTTGATTTGATGGATAGGTATATGGACGATTCAGTTTCTAGTATTGAAATGAAATACGCTGGACAAGATGAAGCAAGTCCATCTTATAATCCTTCTTACAATTCTAATGTTTAGCCAGTCCAATAGTACTACTCGAATAACATTCAATATAATATAGGACATCACCCAAGACGACCTGTAAACATCTATGATCGTGAAAATCAATTGCTTAGAACTTCAGAAAAGAGAAGTCCAAATAAAAAATCCTTTTTCTCTAAGAATGAAGTCCTATTGAATATCACTATGTGCTATTCACAAATGTATGATAATTACTTGGAACAATGGACAATACAGATGACTAGAGTATCAACAGAAACACCACGATAGTGTTGAGAATGGTGATGAAATGATTCATAGAGGTTAAAACTATTTAGGCGATGTTTCTAGTGCAATATGAGAATCTTACAAAAGGAAGTTTCGAGATGAAGCTGCCAGATTAGCTTAGTCAAGGTAACAATTTCCTTGAACTTTGCTTACTTGATCCATCGTATATTAATTGTGAAAGATACCAATTCTAGACGGATCATTAGGCAACAAAATGGAATGCGTGACCTTGTGCAAATGCTGATCCGAAACTGGAAATACATTAAAAACTTTGCAAACAACTTCATAGTCTTAGCCTCTATCTCTGAAAATTATCACTTGAGCGAACTTGGTGTGTGGTTGTTTTCAAAATTGTCTGGAGAATTAGGGAAGGAAATACATCAAACATGGGTTAATCAAAACATTATCTCGCAATTTGATAATATAGGTGTGCGAGTCCAATTTCTGTTTGAAAAACTTAAAGAAAATGCATTT